TCACCGGAGCCCAGTAGGTTGAGGCTGCGGTGGCCAGGAGAGGGTGATAGAGTGAGACTCCAACTCTGCACTCCAGTCTGGGTGACAGAGTGAGACTCCAACTCAAAAAAAAAGAAGGAACCAACTACTGACATAGCAAACAGCATGACTAAATACATTTAAATACATTCTGTATTGACATATGTTTACAAACGAAGGTATACTCAATAGCCTACATACTGCGTGATTTCATCTATGTTACTTTCTGGAAATGCAGAGCTCTAGAGATGGAGAACAGATGCCACTATGGGACAGGGGTGAGGGATGGGGAAGGGGTTGAGTCCAGAGGGGCAACAGGAGGGGATTTTGGGGGTGATAGAACTGTTCTGTATCTTGATTGTGAAGGTGTTCACGAGGCTCTATGCATTTCATCAGATCAGCCATTAAAGTTCACCTCCTGTTGCCAGGGGCTGGGCTCTGTGAGAGGCTGGTGCAGTGGAGCTTCAGAGGACACAGGGAGAAGCTAACCTGGGCAAACAACTGAAATCAACTGCGATGACTGTTCGTCTACCCATCCCTGTATGAACACATTGTCATGGTGCTTATCACACCCACAGTCCGTCCCTGATGCTAATGACTGACTCCAAATGGAGGTGTGTAGCCCCCAAAAGGCTTAAATACTGCAACGTGCTGCCTGGGACTTCCGTTCTCAGACACAGGTCAGGAGGCTGGGACTGGGAATCTATTTATGAATTAGTGCTAAGCAAAGGGTAGCCTAAACTTCTTCAAGGGACAGTTGCTCATTCTTCTGTATGTCCCAGAATCCTTATCTACTTTTCTCTCTGTGTACTAGGAGGCAGAATAACATAAAAGTAACTACTCAGACTTTCAAGTCAGTCAGGCCTTGGTTTGAGTCCTGGCACCAAAACAGTGATCTTGGGCAATTTAACTGCTTTTGACTTCAGTTTCTTTCTCTTTAAAGTGGGGATAATAATAGTACTTTGGGGTGGCCAATGGACAAAATGATAAAAAGCATATGTAGCATTCAGTTCAACACCTGCCATAGTGAGCTTGCAGTAGATGGTAGCTGTTATTGTAATTATCTTGGTTCTAGCACTTATCACATAATGTAACATAATGGCCTATTTACATGCTTATCTCCCCCTCTAGACCAGAAACTTGATGAGGACAGGCGCTATATCTTGCTGGGTTTTGTGTCTCCAGTGGCTAGCCAATGCCTGTGTATAAAAGATGTTCACTGAATGTTAGGTGAATGGATAGATACACTGACCAGTAGATGCTGGGGTGGGGATGCTGAAAGCCTTTGTCCCCATGGGCACAATGTCATCACCATCATCAGAAAGCACCCATGAAGTACCTCTCTCCTGGAGCTTGAAGCATAATACACCCTCTCGGCCCTCTGTCCTCTATACCATCCTCCAGGTGAGGAGCCCAGGTGGGCTATGGTTGCCCATGCTCAGCCGGGCTGAAGCTCAGGATCCTGTGACTCGTCTCCCCAACTTTAAGTACCACCTGCCTTTGCTCCTTTCAGTCCAAACCCACCTCCCTGTACTTATACAGGAACATGAGCACAGGCACCATACTGTGGACGGGAACTGGCCATGTCTTCAGTCACAGCCACAGCATGGGGATGGGTACTGGCTCCCTTTCCTCCAGGGGCTCCCAGCCATTTTGGGGAGTTTATATGTGGTGTACTAACAGTGATGGAGTTCTATAGCTATTTAGAGACTCGCTATCAGTGACTGGGACAAAATATGGTGAGCTGTCTTTATAACTGGTTAAATAATAGGCCCAAGGAATGCTGATGTCAGCCTCGTGGGAGCTAGGAATGGTGAGTGTAGGGCTCTGCCTTGGGTCCTGTTTGGTTTATGTTATATCAGGGGGAATGAGAATATGGATATTGAGGTCATTGTGTTTACTAGAATTTATAGTTGGGAGATAGATCATGTCTCAAAACATTGGACTGATGGACTGAGTAGGGAGGAATTAATGGAGATAAAGATCAGTTTACGTTCTTAGGCCTCCAAATCCATCTATGCTCCTGCGGAGTGAGGTGGACTGAGTTTAACTGAAGCTCATGAAAAAGACCCAGGGCCTATTTCAGTATAAATTTCAGTATAATGCCAGGAATGTGATGTGGCAACAAAAAAGCTAATGCAATCAGGCTCCATTAACAGAGGCATAGATTACAGGACAAAGGAGGAGGTGAATAGTGCTCCTAATCTCTGTGCCAGCTGACCTCTCTTGGGTATGGTGTTCAGTACTGACAGTCACAATTTAGTATGGACATTTACAACTCAAAACATTAGTGATGGGCAATCACATGAGAGGCAATTTAACACCAGTTTGTGTAAACAACAGTTGAAGAGATTTCGCTTGAAGAAGGATTTGCTCAGTTCACCATAGCTGACAATAATAAAGGGGTTCCTCGTGGAAGAGCAATTTGACCCATCTTGTGACTGCTAAAGCAATGCTGTCCAATATAACCTTCTGTGGTGATGGAAGTATTTTCCTCCTGTGCTATTCTGTAGCTACTAGACAGATGTAGTTTTGGGGCAAGTAAAATATGGCTGTGGACTGAAATTTATTTATTTACTTATTTATTTAGTCAGAGTCTCGCTCTGCTGCCCAGGTGGGAGTGCTGTGGCAGGATCATGGCTCACTGTAGTCTCCAGTTTCTGGGTACAAGCGATCCTCCTGCATCAGCCTCCCAAGTAGGCTGTGCCACCATACCTGGCTAATTTTTTTATTTTTATTTTGGTAAAGATAAGGTCTTGGTCTGTTGCCCAGGCTGGTCTCAAACTCCTAGGCTCAAGTGATCCTTTTGCCTCTGCCTCCCAGAATATGCTGGGATTATAGGCATGAGCTACGACGTCTGGCCCAGACTGAATTTTATATTTAATTTTAATTAATAAAAACTTAAACAGAAATAGCCACATGTGACTAATGGTTACCATACTAGACAGTGTAGCTCCAGAGAGCAAATGAAAGAATAAACCAGGGGTCAGCAGATTTTTTTTTCTCTGTAAAAGGCAAAACAGAGCTGGGCTTGGTGGCTCAGCCT